AACTCGTGTGGGTGTATTTGCCAAGCTCGCCTTCCACCACAGGGGCCCCAGGAATCAAACTCAGGTTGTTAGGTTTGGCAGCAAGCACTCGTATTCGCCGGGCCACGTGGCCCACCCCGTTTGTTTGTTTGTTTGTTTGTTTTTGTTTTTTTGTTTTTCGAGACAGGGTTTCTCTGTGTAGCTTTGGAGCCTGTCCTGGAACTCACTCTGGAGCCCTTCCTCCTCTGCAACTCACAGATATCCCCCTGCCTCTGCCTCCCGAGTGCTGGGATTAAAGGTGCGCGCCACCAACGCCCAGCCCGTTTTTGTTGTTGTTGTTGTTTTTGAGATGGTATATATGGATTCCCAGACTGGCCTTGAACTCGCTACGTTTGCCTTGAGCTCCTGGTCCTCCTGCCTTCCCCTCCTGAGTGTTGGCATTACAAATGTGTGCCACCATGGTCAGCCATAAAGGTCCTTCTAACTGAGCTGGCCGAGGCCTCCAAGGCCCCGGATCTGTCCAGACGTCCTAAATGTGTTCCGTCCCTGGGCTCGACAATATCCATCTTCTCCAAAGTGGAATCAGACAGCCTGCAGCTGAGAGGTCGGAGGGCACCAGCAGGTCCCCAGCGACCAGGAAGTGGCTGTGACACCCCAGCCCCTCGATCCAGAGCATCCGTGGAAATGACCCAGCACCCTCAGCTCTGGTCTATCCTATCAGCACATGCTGCCTACGCCAGCTGGTGGGGGAGTGAGCAGATTCCTACCGAGTCTGGCAGGCCACACTCTGTCCTTGTCAGCTGTAGCTCTGACAGAGGCAGGGACCCCTGGGGCACTAGTTCTGTTCCCCACTTTTCCCAACCCACCGGGCGGGTCATTGTCTTGAACTATAGCTGTCTGTCCGCTATTCCATGGCTTCTGTCTTGCTATTGTCTGCCAACACAGGGATCTCAAGTCACCTTGGTCCATGGATGCTTTTGACTCAGTTTTCCCCTCTCCTGGTGTCTTTCTCCCATTGCGTTCATTTCTACTCTCTCCCCTTCCTCATCTCTAGTCCTTGTCCCCACTCCCACCCCAGACCCGTCTCCATTCGGTTTGTCATATTTTCTTTCTCAGTCTTCCTTTAAAATTCTATATTCCTTCCACTCCTTTAAGATTTTTGTTTTATTATTTTATGTGTATGGGAGTATTTGCGTGTCTGTGCACCATGTGCATACAATTCCCACAGCGGCCAGTAGAGGGCACCAGAGCTCCTGGAATGGGAGTTAGCATGGTTGTGAGCCACCAGTGAGTAGGGGAATCAAACCTGTGTCCTCTGGAAGAGCAGCCAGGGCTCACAACCACAGAGCCATCTCTCCAGCTTCTCCTCCCACTTTTTTTTTTTCTTTTTCCAGACAGGGTTTCTCTGTGAAGCTCTGGCTGTCCTGGAACTCACTCTGGAGACCAGGCTGGTCTCGAACTCACAGAGATCCTCCTGCCTCTGCCTCCAAGTGCTAGGCATGGGCCACCATCCCCTGGCTTTTCATTTGTTCTTTTATAACCCAGGCTGGGATTCACTGTGTAGCTAAAGCTGGCCTTGATTCCCTGTCTACACTCCCAAACACTAGGATTACAGGCACGGGGTACTACAATATATAGACCTCATCTGTGTGCCACGCTTTCTGTTTTTTTTTTTTTTTCCCATCTAGTG